TATTTGTAGATGGAACATTTACCGATTTGGATCAGTTAACATTCTAAAAAAAGCATTTACTGATTTGGACTTATATTTTGTGAATATCATAAACTTTGGATGAAATTGATATTTTGTGAATATTTGATATCCAAAGCCAAATCTTATGGATATTAATTAATAGATAATAATTATAATATAACTTTTATCTTAATTAATAGTCCCTACCCATCCCTATTCCTGGGCACCCGCCTAGGTGGCTAGGCCCCCAAAGTGCCTAGGCGGGTGCCTACGCCTTTTTGAACATTGTTTATAACAAAAAAAGGCACAAATACCCTAAAAGAAAAAATAAAAACCCAAATAATCCCGAAACCTAATTTTTATCTCCTAAAAAAATAAAATATCCTTAATTTAATTATGTAAGTCAGGGGATTTTTTTATTTTTATTTTTGTTTTAAAATTAGGCACCATGTAAATTAAGCTAAGAGAGAAATAAAGATAGTGAACAACTAAAAACAAAGTTCCAACTCTCAAATGTTCAGTTTTCCTGATTTGCACAAGTTTAACTAATGTATTTAGTCATCTCCTCATTGTGTCACCTCCTAAGACACCGAGATATTTCCATATACTCAGCATGCGCATGTGAACTTCTATATACTCAGCATGCTCATGTCAACGTAATATAACCCTGGTACCAATACCTTATACTCTTCTAACACTCATAAACAAAACATGATATAATAGTAGAAACTAGTACAAATAAAGCAGGACATGTCAACATGACATAACCTTGGTACCAATACCATATACTCCTACAACACTCATAAATAAAAAGTGATATAATAGTAGAAACTAGTACAAACAAAGCAGGACACGCTCACTTATCCAAAAAAAAACAATGCACGATGATATGAATAAAATGCATGATTTGTGTAAAGTAAGTTACATAGTATCAGATATTTACTCTAGAATTTAAATATATTAGGACATACATCTAGACCTACAATAAGCTATTTGATATTATAATTATAACATGAATATACACATATATATATATACATAGAGAGAGAGAGAGAGATGAAATGTTGACTTGCATCACTATTCCAATTATCCATTCCTGAACATATCTGTATGGGCATCTTAGATCATCTCAATTGTCACACATGAAAGCTAATATTGCAAGTAAAACCTAAACTTTCAAGGTCTAAAGTTAAAGGCTAAGGCAAGATCACAAGAGCACTTCTGATACCTTCTCTTATATTCATCGAAGTTCTCATTCTTTTATTCATCAACTTATCCCAACTCTTGGAAGTGACGATACATCAAACTGAATAAGAACTGGTTTAGTTTCTTGCATGGCTTCCTAGTTCAGAGAGTTGAGATTTTATATCAATTCAAATGCAAGTATTAATGGTTCTGCACAATGCAAACCAAGCCAAACAGGCTAGTCTGGACTAGAAACTGATATACTGGTGGTCATTCCGTTCTGGTCCGAACCCCTGGGCAAGGATGTCAACTAAACTGGTCAAGAACATGAGGACCGGTTGATCCAATGACTAGAACTCTGGACCAGCAAGTCCACTGATTCAAGACCGAACTAGTTGGCTGCAATATGGTCAAAAGTTCACCACTTTTTACCATTTTTTCTGATTTTTTGGTCATTTTTTGACATAGGGAGGAAGGTGAACAATACTAAAAAAAACCAGAAACATAAAAATAAATTAAATGGATGAGAGACTATACCATCTCTCAGGCTCTGGAACGGAGTTCACCCTAAAAGTCCACCCTATAAAGATTTTTTCACATGATCCAAAATAAACTCTTACTCTCTTTACTCTATTTTTTCTGATCCAAGAGTTACATTTTTATAAAAGAAAACAGCGTTAAAACCTAACTTGATCCTTAAGAAACCCTAACCAAATTCCAACCCTTCATCTTTAAAAAATAAATAAAGATCCGATCTTACCCCTCAATTTCCTTAAAGAAAACTAGAAACCAATAATAATCTAGAAAATCATAAAATAAGACAAATTAGAAATCCATTACATCCTTCTCCCGGGGTTGAGAGAAGCTCGAGCTCAAGCTTTTTCTGTTCATTACATCCTTCAAAAGCCAATTGAATAATTGTGATGTAGGCCCACCATTCGTCGAGGTACTTTGTTTTCTTCAATGAACCAATTAATCAAACAATTTATGTGCAACATCTATTGGAACATTGGATGCCAAGCATATTTCAATTTCAATTTCATTTTCTAGCTTCTTTGAAACTTGAGACGATCAACCTTAATACTGAGATCTTGTGAATACTCTACAAGACATGGATCTTACATGAAAATTTGCTTGTTACATTCAGGATCGACAGCCCAAGTTAGTCATGGGACTAGATTCATCTAAAGGAAAAAATTTGGCATCAGATCTACGTGGTTGCGAGCACTCTCTTTTTGATGAACGGTTTTTGCCAATCATTATAGCCGCTGATTCATTATGCCAACCTCTCCTCGAATTTTGTGTCTCTCCTCGAATACCCTCCATGAATTGATTTATGCTCTCATCAAAATGTTATTTTATAAATTCTATAATTTGTGGCAATAGATCATCGACCGCAGGAGGAGGTTTTGGTGGCATTCTGATGGACAGATCTTTTAAAGCTTTAATACCACTTGATGTAGGGACGCAGGTGAAAGAAAATAAACAAATAGGAAAATAGAAATAAAATTAAAGAGATGAGATATGATACCCTCTCTCAGGGTCAGCAAGAGAGTCCCCAGCAAAAAGATCTCTTCACAAGATCCAAAATAAACATTTATTCTCTTCACTCTATTTTTTCCGATCCAAGAGTTATATATTTATAAAATAAAACAACCCTAAAACCTAACTTGTTCCTTAAGAAATCCCAACCCTTCATCTTGAAAAAAAAAATAGTAAAGTTTGAATTTTAACCTTCAATTCTCAACAACTAAAAAAGACACAAATACCAAGAATACATGAAACCCAAAATAATCCTAAATATAAATCCTAGAGAATAAAAAATAAAAAATGCATTACATCATGTTTTGGCCTTTTTTATTCTAATTAGGGGCTTTTTGGTATTTTGAGTAAAAAAAAAAAAATTTGGTGTAATTCAATTACACTTTTTCTTTTTTTATTTTTTTTTTCTTTTCTTTTTTGCGTACCTAAAGTGTCGGATCTGCTAAGAGACTGTTACACTTTTTTTTTGCTTTATAATTAGAAATTTAGAAAAAATTTCAGTTTTTTTTTAGGTTTTTGCTACAAACAATTTTCTTTTTCAAATCAATGAAATACATTGTTTCTTGTGTTCTATTTGTTTGTTTTATCTTTGTTGAGTTTTATTGTTGTATGTTTTTTCTTTATTTTGAAAGTAGCAACTAGGTTTTTTTTATTTTTATATTTTATTTGCCTTTTTTGTTTTTGGAGGGGTTGGGGGAGAGGGGAGGGTGGGGGTCTTTAGGACCTAAATGAAACCATCGACTATGAAAATGTTAATACTTGAAAGATTTTATTTTAGTTTTTTTGGATTTTGCTGGTTTACATTTTTGTTTATTATAATTTTACATAAATATTACATCTATTTGTTTCGTTTGTTAGTTAAGATTGACGGCCAATGAGTACCTAAAAGAGATCATTTTCGATATCTTGGGTCGATAACCTATGAGAAAAGAGAGATAGAGGAAGAAGTTGCTCATAGAATTAGAGCTGTGTGAACGGAGTGGAGACATGCTTCTAGAGTCGCATGTGATCGTCACATACCAATGAAACTGAAGGAGAAGATTTATATGACGGCCGTAAGACTTTATCAAATGGAATGTTGGATTGTCAAAAAACAACATATCCATAGAATGAGTATAGCTGAGATGAGGATGTTGAGATGGATGAATGACAAGACAAGGATAGACTTCCAAATGAATGCATGGGAGGTAACTTAGGGAATAGGGGTAGCTCTAATAGGCAATAAAATAAGGAAAAGTAGAGTTGGGTGGTCTGACCATGTGTAACATCGAGCTAGAACAACACCAGTCATGAGCCTTTATTTGGTTCAAGTGGAAGGTTCTAAAAGGGCAAAGAAAAGGCCCAAAAGAATATGGATGAAAGTAATGAGGATAGATCTGGTAACTTATGGTCCGACTGAGGGTCTGGCCCTTGATAAAGATGAATGGAAAAATAGGATTCGTGTAGTCCACCCCAAATAGTTGGGATAAGGCTTGGATGTTAATGATGATGATGATCATTTGTTCCATTTATGCTCAACTGCTACATTTGGTATTTTTTATATTTTCTGGATTTTTGCATATATTTTTCAAGTTTTTAATTATTTGTGCATGTTTTCTATTTTTTATTTTTGATTTCTTTAACCAATCGAAACAGTGCACCAGCCCAGACCGGCCAGTCTGACTAGATCAGGGCCCTCATTGGTTCAATGACTAGTTCAGTCTTAAGAACATTGGCTTCTGCAAGAATCTATTGACTAATTCAAACTAGAGGTTGATAGGCATGATCGCCAGTCATGAACGACTAATAACCTGACAGAAAGAAAAGCCGCTCATCTAATCATTCATTGGCATTTAGGGACTAAAAGGGACGGAGGTTTATCATTTTGTCAAAAAATTGTCTAGCATGACAATATAAGATGAATTTATAAACCAGATGCTCAAGTTGATTGAGAGAAAGTCTCATCATTATCATTAAACCTTCCAGCAATACCAAACATCCATTTCTCAAGAAAACCTAAATTTCTTGATTTATGTGTTTTGACAATATATTATCGTCACAACTGATGATAATGAACTGCTATATATCATAATTATTAAACTATTAAAATACATCAGTAATACAAAAAAAAAATGGTCTCACATACTAACACATTTTGCAAAAGACAAAACTCACAAAACATGGCCTTGCAAACTGATACGTTTTGCAAAAGACAAAACTCCCAAACCTATCCCACGTGTTATACCAAATTCATGAAAGGCAAGAATTTTCAAGGTTGAAGGAAAGGTTCATACCTCATCAAATCTAATCAGAGTAACAAATAACCGAATATCAGCTTCAGTCAGTCTGTTCCCACAAATATACCGCTGCTGGCCTAATATTTGCTCACATTTGTCCAAACATTGGAATAATTTTTCCACAGCCTGTGTGCATTAGATGCGATAAATTACTAAAGAATAATAAACAAAATGTACCTACTCCATCCATAAGACATGAAATTATCAATGTTCTCACAGATAAAAGTGCAGATTATATGTTAATCCTAAAGTTGATTGGGAAGCATCAATCTGGCAATGAGCTTGTACAACCACACTAGAAATACAATTACCTCTTCATAAGGCTGTTGTTTTGTGGCAAAACCACATTTATACACACCATTGTTTATCCCATCATACACCCATTCGTTAATACCATCAATCTGGCTACTCAATTCTGGTGGGTACAGGTCCACATCAGCATTTTCTGCTATATCATTGAATTCACTATTTAACATTCTGAATATATCTGAGCTCTCATTGTTAACAATTGTTTTAAGTTTCTTGTCCCATAGAACCTGCCAAACACAATGACCACAGTGCAAGAAATAAGAAGCAACTTTTACAACAAGAACCATGATAAAGACCACAATGAAATATGATGCAAAAAATACACATACAGGAACAGAATATTTCCCAGAATAGTTAGCAGAGGCAAGCTCGTACAGCTCCCTAATAGTCTTTGCTCCATTCAATGGGTCAGGCCCTGCTCCTGGTTCTTCTGAAGATGAGATTGGAAAGACCCACCCCATATGGCTATCAGTCTCACTCGTCCTTTCCCATTTTGGTTTTACCGCCTTAATTAAGATCATGGACAAAAGTAGTAAGAACTTTGAAAATTAAAATTGCACAAACTAACCAACTTTATAAAAATCATAGTACCGAGAAACTAATAGCTCTCTGCAGTCCCTTGATGTTTCGAACTGCAAGACATCTTGAAGCCCAAGGACAAGCATATGATATATACAAATGATATCTTCCCGACTCTGCTGGAAATTGAGAGGTTCCATCTCTAGAAATGAAATAGCGGAATGTAGATGGGGTGCGGTTAAAAGCACCTGTATCTGAGACCTCATCCAAAGCTGAACGAGCCATTTGAAGAGCCTGCTGCCAGAAAAGTTGCTCATAAAACATCATGGAACGACATAAGTCCAAAAAACAAGAAGTTACTATGAAACATCAGGCAATATAACATAGGAAAATCAATTTCAAAAGTATACTCATGCTTCAAGTCAAAAAAAAAAAAGACTGATTAAACAATGATGCACTAGCATTAGTTGATTAGTACTTGGTAAAAAGAGTGAGAGAAACAGTACAAGAGGAAGAAAGTTGCCTGCAGAGAGGGCTGAGAATGGGTCAGATCGGGTCCGGATCCACCAAGATCCATATTCAGATCCAAAAAGTATACATGGGACTGATCAGATCCAGAATATTCAAATCCGGATCCAAATCCAAAAAGTATGCATGGGATCCAGATCCAGACCCGATCAGATCCAAAAAAATTATTTTATATATTATTTATATACAAAATAATATATAACGAAAAATACTATATAACATATATGTATCTATATAAATTAATATTTAACATTTTAATAATTGGGTCGGATCCAGGTACAGGTGGATCCAATCCAAATTACTATTCAGATCCAATGTTTGGATCCAGATCTGACCAATCAGATCCAAAGCTTGGATCCATGACCGGACCCGGATAGGGTCCGAAATTCGGGGTTCAGATCCAAACTGGGTACATTCTCAGCCCTACTTGTAGATCAGTTGCCAACATTCTTTGGCCTATCCTATTAAAGGGAGCTAATAGAAGGGGTTATTTGAGTTAAAATATAAAGGAGAAAGGAAGAAGAGTGAGGAAGAAGAGGATCTAGAGAGAAAGAGAGCAGAGGAACAGAGAGAGGTTGATAAGGTGTCATTGGGTTCTTATCTCTAAGTCACATGTCCCTCTCTTCTATATAGTGATGTCCTTTTAGTGAGGAAACAACTTGAGTACAATAGAAAAGAGTAAAAACGTTAACATCACAACACTGCTCCTCAAGCTGCTGTATGGATATCCCTCATGCCAACTTGATTAGGATCACTTGTAGTCAAGGTTTGCCAATGGCCTTGGTAAGAATGGTTTCTAGCTGGTCTTCGGTTTTCACCTTATAGAAGGCAAATTTTCTTTAATGGCAACTCTTTCTCAAACAAAATGTTGGTCTACCTCTATGTGCTTGGTTTTATCATGCCAGACCAGATTATGAGCTAGACTAATGGCTGCCTTGTTATCACAATACAAGGACATTGGCCCTTTCAGACGAAAACCAATCTCCGGTAATAGGATATTACCTATTAAAGGGAGCTAATAGAAGGGGTTATTTGAGTTAAAATATAAAGGAGAAAGGAAGAAGAGTGAGGAAGAAGAGGATCTAGAGAGAAAGAGAGCAGAGGAACAGAGAGAGGTTGATAAGGTGTCATTGGGTTCTTATCTCTAAGTCACATGTCCCTCTCTTCTATATAGTGATGTCCTTTTAGTGAGGAAACAACTTGAGTACAATAGAAAAGAGTAAAAACGTTAACATCACAACACTGCTCCTCAAGCTGCTGTATGGATATCCCTCATGCCAACTTGATTAGGATCACTTGTAGTCAAGGTTTGCCAATGGCCTTGGTAAGAATGGTTTCTAGCTGGTCTTCGGTTTTCACCTTATAGAAGGCAAATTTTCTTTAATGGCAACTCTTTCTCAAACAAAATGTTGGTCTACCTCTATGTGCTTGGTTTTATCATGCCAGACCAGATTATGAGCTAGACTAATGGCTGCCTTGTTATCACAATACAAGGACATTGGCCCTTTCAGACGAAAACCAATCTCCGGTAATAGGATATTTAACCACAGCAATTCACACACACCATGATGAGCAAACAGCAGTCCCCTATTTGGCGACGATTCTAAATATCTAAGAACTCTGAAAGCAGCTTCAAGATCTGTAGATTGTGAAGCATGCATGAATTAACAGATCACACTCATAACACATGCAATTGTTGGACATGCAAGTGAATATATATTTACCTGCCTATTAATCTTTAAAACATATCCACCTCTAAGAGATTCACCCCCTTGGTCGTTTAGTTTGTGGTTTTGTACTAGTATAAACTGGTTCGCACCCAAACTTTTGTGTTTCTTTAAGAAGGTCCAGCACATACTTCCCTTGAGAGAGAAAGATTTTCCTCTTAGACCTGGCCACTTTTATACCAAGAAAATACTTCAATAGACCTAGATCTTTAATCTCAAAACTCCCTTGCCAGAAAGCTCTTGAGTTGTTGAATTTCCTTAGAACAATTACTTGTTATAACAATATCATCCACATATACAATTGGGGCAACAATTATAACTTTATGTTATACAAATATGGTATAATCTGCATGACTCTGTGTATACCCAATTCTTTGAAAACAATACTAAACCTCTGAAACCAAGCTCGGGGAGACTGCTTTAGTCTATAAATGGCCTTTCTCGATCTACAAACTTTTCCCTCATATCCAAGAGCCTTAAATCCAGGTGGAGGTACCATGTACTCTTCTTCCTACAGTTCCTCATAAAGAACGCATTCTTGACATCTAGTTTGTGCAACAGCTGCTCTAATTTAGCTGCGAAAGACAAAAAAAGTACACTAATGGTGGTCATCTTAGCAAATAGGAGCAAAAATCTCCTTAAAATATATTCCATAACTCTGAGTGACACCTTGGCAACTAATGATGCCTTGTATCTGTCAACTGTACCATCAGCCTAGTGCTCTACAATGTAAACTAATTTACAACCAACGTTTTCTATTTAAAATGGTCTACGAGTTCCCAATCAACATTCTTGATTAGTGCTCCCATCTCCTTACACATAGTCTCTTTCCACCTGGGATGGGCTAAAGCATCAGAAACACTAAATGGAATAGAAATAGAAGATAAGGAAAACATGAAAGCATGATAGGAAGGAGCTAAGGACTCATCAGAAACGAAGTTGCTTATAAGGTATATAGTACAACCTCATTTACACTTTCATATAGCAATTGGCATATCCAAATCACACGGAGATCTAGTTGGATTACCTAGATCAGAAGTATGAAATTGGATTGAAGGTTTGTCAATTATGGTAGTCTCCACTTCTTTCTATTTCCACTGAGTATAGACATTTAATTCTCTGTTTACAATATAAGATTGCTCTTCACCACCCTCCTAAGTCCCAGAACGAGGAAAAATATGAATAGGAAGGGAACAGAAGACCTCTTTTCCATGATATGCTCCCCTTGAAGAAAAGCGTAAAAAAAGAAGTTGACTCCAAGGTAACACCCATCGAGTCAAATTTCTTCCCCGACAATGAATCATAACATTTATAACCCTTTTGAGAAGACAAATAACCAAGAAACTTACATTTTATAGTTTTGGGATCCAACTTTGTACGGTAAGGACCAAGAACATGAGCAAAGCAAACACAGCCAAAGACTTTAGGGGGAATGCTAAACAGAAAACGATCAAGACAAAGAAGTTTATAGATTGATTTGTAATTTATAACACGAGATGGCATCTGATCGATAAAATAGGATGCAATGAGCACAGCTTCAGACCAAAATTTCTTAGATATATTTATTCTTGAGAGAAGAGCATGACCAACTTCTAAGCAATGTCTATTCTTTCTATTAGCCACACTATTTTCTTGTGGTGTGTAAGAATACGAATGTTGATGTCACCATGTTCTTCCAAACAGGACATCAACACCATGTTCTTCCAAATATATCAACTCTATATTTCAATACTCTCCACCTTGAACAAATCTCAGTTTTTTAACATCAAACTGAGTTTGCATTAGTTTAGGAAAGACCTTTAAGATATTAGGAACTTCATCTTTGATCTTCACAAGATAGAACCAGGTACACCAAGAATAATCATCCACAAATGAAACAAAATTCCTCTACTCATAAAAGCAGTGTTTCAAAAAGCGTTAGGCAGTGCCTGCGGCCAGGGGGGTCCAAGCCGCCGAGCACCTAGGAGGGCGCCCAGAACCTCGGCAGCCCAGTAGAAAAAAAAACATTATGGGGTTTTTCTCTCTCTAAAATAGGCTTTAATGGGTTTTAGGTTTCAAATGAACCTAAGACCCACAATTTTGCCTCTTTAATATGAAAATATGATCAAAAAAAGCCCTCAAAAAAAAGGGCATTTCCGCCCTGGGCGGTGCGCAGGCCTTGGGCAGCCGCCTAGGCGGGTTCAGTCGACCGTCTAGGCGGGTCCGATGGCCGCCTAAGCAAGTTTAGTCAGCCGCCTAGGAGGGTTCCCGGGCGCCTAGGTGGGCACCCAGGGATATCTGCCTAATTTGGCTACCTAGGCTTGAGTGATGCGCCCAGGCCTTCTGGACCGTCTCGGCAGCCGCCCAGCTACTGGGCGGTCCGTTTTTTAAATCACTGCATAAAAGAACATTAAAATGGATAATAGCAAAAATAACTTCTTTTTTTACAGGGTAAAAAAGAGTTTTTACAATATTTTGACAATTTACAAACCTCATATTGAAACTCTAACACATTAGTCGAAATAAACAACTTAGGAAACAAAACTATCAATAATTGAAAAGATAAATGACTATGTCGGAGATGCCACTTCCAAATTCGATCTCATCAATACTTGTGCTAGACTAAAGGGCTCGAGTGCAATTGTTGCCAAATGTAGAATGTAGAGACCACCAACTTCATGTCAATTGTCAATCGTCTTCCTCGTATCCAGGTCCCCAAAAATAGAGGGGGAAGGAAAGAAGGCTACACTACAATTACAACTCTTTGTAATAATACTGACAAACATTAAGTTGTAGCAAAACTAGGAACATGAACAATTAATGATAATGACATTTGAGGGGAAATATTCAAAGTACCTTTTCCAAAGATGAAAGAAAAGATCCATCAGCAATCCTAACTTTGCCTCTACCATAACAAACGGGGATAGGTAGAAAAAAATGACATACCAGTCATGTGGTCTAAGCCTCTTGAATCAATAGACCAAGATGGTCTAGATGGAGTAAGAGAGACATGATGAGCAGAAGCATAAATACCTAAGTGAACAAAAGATTAAGTAGAAGTAGTGCATGGGCCATCTAACTAAGAGCACCAACGGGGAACGCTCTCAATCTCCTCTTTAAGACCTGATATAATTTCCTTTGGAGTAAAAATTGAAGGTTGAACTACATCAGACAATGGTTGATCCGAACTAACAGCAGTTCTCCCAGTCAACGAAACATTACGAGCATTAAACTGACCTGGACAATTGAATTTAGCAGCCCGACCACCTAGATCCCAACAAGTTTCATTATTATGACTATTTCTCTCACAATAATCACATTTTATCTCACTTTTATCTCCTAGATTAGGCACCCCTTTTTCAAATTTCCAAGAGCCACCCCACTGTTTTAGGAGGTTATGAAGCTGCAGCAAGCACCAATTGATCAACTACTTGAGCAAGTAGCATGACACTTGAAGAGAGAAAATGCCGATGTTAGTATGACACACTTGCACTTCATCTCAAAAGATGAATTATCACATCGACGTATATTATCTTTGGAAGAACTCTTAGATGAAAATAATTGAAAATTAATTAATTCATCGGTATTGGAGATACAAGTAAGCCAAAAGCTAAGCATTTATTTAATGGTTCTAGATTCGATCCTGATAGAAATAGTTTATAGTCGACCATGTATTCATCGTAAAATCCAAAATCAGATGCTATCTAAATTGGACTTTTGCTGCCACTTTTTTATAATTTTACTAAGTGGCACTTTGGTGTGCTTCTTAAAGCATAAATCTGAAGTATGTGATGCTCTTACCATTTACCATAAGATAAATAAAAGCCAATTGAAAATTAATTGAAGTTATTTGCACAAACTACAGTGGTATACATGCAAGGAATTTCTCACTATTAATTGCAGGATCCAACAGCATACTTGTCAATATAAACCCTGAACAAAGTGACAGGCAGAGCATAAGAAGTCAACATATAACTACTCATACATTATTTCTTTTGTTCAATGTCTCATCTTAGCGTAAGCTTATCTGAGTAAGGAGTCGAATTGTTCCATTGTTACATAAGTTTTGTTGATTATTTAACTAGGTCATCTCCTGACAGCGCCCTGCATGTTCCATTCATCCAACATTATACCAAACAGTAGGCTTTTCAAAACACAAATATGATGGAGATAAATGCAGATCTTATAGGATGAAGTGAGATTCTTCATTGAGAATAGTTTCTCGACAGTTGTAATTAGGGGAAAATTCAGCTCTAAGTTATTTCTCCATCTACATATGGAATTAAACTCTCCCAATCATGCCAAAAATGGTTATTATTCTTTACTTTCTGGTAATAAACGTTTATCCATGGCTAAATATATATGGATGTATGTAGTTATGTATCATCATCATCTCCAAGCCTTATCCCAATTATTTGGGGTCAGCTATGTAGTTATGTATGCATCATCATTTGAATTTCGATCAAGTGATCTCCTTACTTGAGGATGGTTTCCCATTCGGTCGCAATTCAAATCATATTCAGCTTTAAATTGTTATATTCTCTTATAGACACATTTAGATCAAAAGTTTCTGAATTGAGATGACAAATAGGCACTGCTCCCTATTTACTCATTAACACAGTTCAGTCAATTAATTAAAGCATTACGCCAAGCTCAAGTGCTGGACTGCAATCATGTGTCAAATCAGATACACATCTCTCTCAGCTATTAATTTCTGAATATCTACAATTTAGTATGTATAGGCATATATCATAGTCGCGTTCAAGCATTAAACAGGCGAATCGTAATTGATATGGCAAAGGAAAGTCCAAGGTACAAAAGTCTCCCAAACTGCAGAATATAAAGCACACATATAAATAACTACATGTGTTGCACCCTAGTTTGGTGTGGTGGGAAGGTCCCACAAACACAGGTATAAAAAAAAGGAATGAAAATTCTACCTGAGTATTCGTAAAAGTGAATATAAAACTGAAAATTCAGGTTGTCCTCAGATTCTCAAGTTCATCCAGATCCAAACTTCTCGTTAACTCAGAAAACTCAGCACACAAAAGCATAAGAAGTAAGAAAAGAGAAAATTTCCCCTAATTCACCAGATAACTCATAGTGTTTTCCTTACTTCACTATGATCAACAACAAATACCTGTTTGATTCATATATTTATACTTCATAACATACATCAATCCATTGCTTAGAACCAAATTTAGAAAAATTCTTCAAGAAACCAAATTCAGGAAAAGCTTCCCAACTTTAATAAGATCAAGTGAACCAATTTTAAGAAAAAAATCTCCAAGTACAGCACAAAAAGGTTCCCACCATTGAGAAGATCATTCACATTATAAGCAGTTTTGTGGAAATGTTACCTTGGCAGATAAAGCCCTAAATTTGAGGGGAGATGTCTGAAATGGATATGATTGTAGGGTTTTCAACCACGGCCTCGCACTAGAAAATAGGAAGGAGATCATATACGCCAGTCTTTCACGCCACCGATTCCATTGCTCGCCATATTCTTGTAGTCGTGCACAGAAGCCACCAACTTTGATTTAAAAAAAACACTCTTGCAGTCAAAGCAAAGAAAGTCAGAAGCAACGATTTAAAATTGCAGTGCATCTATAGGTTAGTCTAGCGGGATCACACTATAAAGTTGCTCCCTTAGACCGTAGGCGCTCTTGAAAAGACATACTCGATCGGTTCCTTGGACCGTTTACTTTCGGTATAAGGGGGTCAAATTTAATCATGTTCCTTGGACCATTTACTTTCGGTATAAGGGGGTCAAATTTAATCATGTTCCTTGGACCATTTACTTTCGGTATAAGGGGGTCAAATTTAATCATGGTTACAGCATCTCAAATTAGATGTTGTATTTGTTTCATTGACCCAAAAAAAAAATTGAACTTTGTGATGGACCCCTGCTCTCAATTCCATATTTCATGGTTACGAGTAATTGTAACTTCTTTGTACCAAAGATAAATGGTCTCACTATATACAATCTCATCTTAAAATATGACAGCTTTTGTTCAAACACATATAAAGTGCTCATGATTTTTCTATTTTTGAGAGGTTGGTAGATCGTTAAGGATGTTGCTTCCCTAATATTTGGACTACTCAATAACATGGCATGTTAGGAGTTACTATTCCACTCTAAGTGTATAGTTTTTGCTTAAAATTTATGAATAGTAATTAGGCTAACTCCTAGCTGTCAAATTATGATAGAATGATTGACAATGCATAGCAATCTTTAAATTTTAATATTGTTTCTACAAATTAGATTGAGATAGAATTTTGGATATATGTAGTATATAATAGGGCTCACAAGAAAAAAAAAATTATAAAACAATTTTTTTCCAAAATTTAAAATGGCCAAAATATCACTGACGAATGACAAAATTTGGTCATTTTAAATTTTTGAAATTAGTTTTTGTATTTGTATATAGTGTGTGATGGTATCAAGTATATACACTTAAAACTTCAACTTAAACCAATTTGTAAAATAAAAGTAAAATTCAAATAGTGACATGTATTTTCAACCTTCCGAATAAGATCTGACAACTAGAAGTTAACCTAAACTACTATTCATTATAGGTACAACCTATTGGTAGCTTTATCTATACATAGACATTGTTAATCCACATATCATATGCAAATGATGATTTCTAATAGACGATTGTAGAGAATTAGGAAGAAAACATAACTTGAACATGTTGCAATTACTATCTTGTTTACAAGGAAAATTTGGGGGATTTTTATTTGAAAATCCCCCAATCTAACACTACAAATGAATTAATACAAATCATGGGAAACAATCGAATTATGACCTAGGGGTTTCAAGTCAACAGATCTTCCCTATGATCATTGGTAAGGGCGGTGTGATCTCATAACTCACATACTTAAGGAAATGCAATTTAAGATCGAACTAAGATAAATGAAAATAGAGGAGAGATAAACTTACATACTCAGGCCAGTAGGCTTGGAACGCCCGAAGCTTGAAGCTTCACCCGTATCAGGACCACACTTCACTTTACGCTATTTATCCTCCTCTTCTCTTCAAAAATAACCAATAGCTTTGGTTGAAATGGGATTACTAGATTTTTTAGTCAAAAGTTTTCCTAAATCTAATATTTAGAGACTAAAATAAGGGTCTTGCTAATGGAGTTCTTGGTTCTTCTCTCTCCTAAATTTTCAAGTGTCTCACTTCACCCATTTAATCGCTAAACTAAATGAAGTCTAAGTGATTTTTGTGATCAACCCTCAAGAGGTCGAACTTAAGTCCTTTTATAGACCTCTTAATGGTTTGAAAAAGGTTAGGAGTGCATATCAGGTTGGTAAAACTCAAAATTCGAAATTCTAGTGGTCAAACATACGGACGACACAACATGTGTCATCTTGGTCAAACAGGACTAGACACAAACTGTATCATCAATGCCTACACTGGTCACCATCAAAAAACAAACATCAAGTAGTCTAGACGACACAATTTGTGTAGTCTAGATCACCAAAGTCCAGACAACACACTTTGTGTTATCCAATCTTAGTATCGATTAGGCAACAGTTTGGATCCCAAATGACACACTATGTGTCATTTTGGTCAATTTAGCATAGACGAAACGAAGTGTGTCATTTAGGCCAGAGACCGCCAGAATCACGAGATTTTGATTCTCATTATCTCTTATGCATTTTTGGATGATTATTATTTTATTTTTGAAATTGAACACAATTTCTATCCTGTATTTGGTTTTTTTTTAATTTAAATAAGGGTTTAATGGGATAAGGGACTATGAAATGAGGACCATAGCCCAAAGTGCTATGGGACAGTGTGGTCCTAAAGGTCTTCTACGTGTTCTAAGGTTAGGAAAAAAATTCAAATTTACCCAAATAAAAAGTGGGTGTCTACATATCATGCTTGCACCGGGTTGGGGCTAGGCCAAGCCAACCTAGACCTAGCTCAGCCCTAGAGCCAGGAATAAAGGGTTGGGCCACGCCTGGATTAGGCGAGGCCCAATGGCCACAAAACTCCTGGAGCTATATTTTGTAGCTTAGGCCCTAGTTTTCAAAGCTAGGACAACTGGCCCATTACCATTTATTTCTAGGGACATGAAGCCATGAAACGCTACAATAAGACTTGATTTGGAGAAAATCAAGCGCTCATATTCAAATTCAACCACCAACCTTTGTGATTGACTCAACACCATGACTCAACAATCTAATCAACAAATGATCACGGAGATTTTGATTGAATTGAGTTGCAATGCTCGAACAATCTGTCGCAGATAGGGTGTCATGGACGTTGAGCTTGAATGTGGTGAAAGCCATGGAGCCTTAGCTTTAGACTATCACCAGCTGGTGTGAATTGAGCCTGTATGGTAAGATGGTTGGGCATGGATGAAAGAGAAAATAGGGCATCTAGTGAGAGGAATAATCTTCTTATCCAATTTTGAATTGAATCTCCTCCTAAACATAGTGTAAATAGTGAAGGGAACTCTTGACTCTAAAAACTTCTCATGCACATGCTCGTAATCGGCAAAAACAACCATTGATATAAGCAATCTTTAGTATAAAACGTGTGGCACAATCTTGGCCTTGGAATCTCAAATTATATACACCCTTCTTTTATAATGTGTAGAGTGTTATTATCTTTCAATTAATTTAATTATGAGATATGATCATATAGGATCCTCTCCCATCTATGTATGTAAGACCTCAAAGGATTACCATTAAATTTGATACGGATCTCTAAAAAATCAAATCCATACCTATATCATAACTTTTTTATGGATCCGTACCAAATTAATGATGATCCTTTGAGGTCCTACACACACACATGAGTGAAAAAAAGTCCTATAAAATTATTACTCTTTAATTATTACAAAACAATCATGGTATCACCCATGCCAACACACCATGTCCAATTTAACGATTGATTTAATGTTTTCTCGATGAATTCAAGGATGACACACCCTTCTGTACTGACATTTGCTATATCAGTACCCATTGACACACGTTAGTTTATACAGACATGTGATACAGAGCTGTACATCCAGGCTGTCTTCAGGTTTTACTGTCAAAGGCCTAGCACAGGCCTAAGGGGCATCGACGGCATTGGTACTGATGTTGGGCCGTTCTCTCGCCATTCATGTCACTCTTGTATCGATTTTCTTGTGTCACCATTGGGAGTTGCGCCACGCCATTAACAGTGGCACCAAAACCTTTCACTTCCAGAATTCCTTAAACATGGGAGTCATGGATTCTGATTTACCCTATTTTTCTTTCCAGGGGAACTCTTTCGTGTTTCGGTCTCTGCCGAGCAATATGGGGCTCATGGGGGCCAGTTTACAGATGGGTCAAGATGAGTGTGAGTGATACAAATATCAGAATAGTTTGCTCATGGTACGTTGGTCTTCTATAGTTTCCTCAATCAGGATAGGGGTGTCTACACTAATGTGTAAGAAGAGCAAAGAAAATATAGATCATTTATTCCAACATTATGCTTTTGTTGCAGATATTTGGAGTTAGACTCTACATTTGAATAGGAACTTTGTGGGTGATCCCTAGAACTACAATGCAACTCGTATAGTAGTTGTTGTCTATCTTTTTAAAAAAATAGCATACTGCCAAAGCAACTTTATTGCTTGTTGTGCCACTTTAGCATGTTCGAATCAAGAGTAACCGAAGTAAAAATGATGGGTCTACAAAGGAAATTCAAACTACTAAGTCCAAAAATATGGCGGCAACTGCAAAGAGGGAAAGTGTTGCAAAGGAAAACAAAGGAATACCTAGAGGAGATATTATTGACATGTGATGCTAAAGATAGAGAAGAATTGAAGGGCAACTCAATTGAGCCATCCACGAGAGGGATTAATCAAGTGTAATTTATATGGAAGTTTCTTATGTGATGCAAGCTTGGGAGAAATCTAAAGAGACCACAATTGGAATTAGCTCCGTTAGGATACTCCAAACCTTGAGATAGTTGCCAGGAGAATGAAGTAGAAGAAAGAGCTCTCTTGAAAGGACTTGTTGGATTTGAAGGCGCCCCTTGATAGTGCAGGGATGTCTATGAATTTTTTTGTATTTTTAGTGGCTTATGGAGAAGGACTATTGGACTTGTTAGTGGTAAAGAGAAAAGATAAAAGAATCACACATGATGTTCGATTTTCAATTGGGGATAAAGTTGATTTCAAGGAATATTATGGAAATTACAAAAGATAAATCTCATTTTTGATAGGATTCTCTCATGTGATATTTTCTATATAAAAGTATTAAGATGGTGAATAGAGATTTCTCATTGAGATGCACATACCTCTCAAAAATACTTTTCTCTCTCCACACCCAAAAGCTTTCCCTCTCTTTCTCCTAGTTTCCCTCACTAGAAACCCTAGAATAATAAAACCCATATGTGATCAAGAGCTCTCTGGTCTTCCATCAAAGACTTGGAATTTGTGATATGTACACTTTACTATTGTTATAGTAATAAGTAGTCAGCCTAGAAATGTAAGCATTGAATTACCGAACTAGAGGAGACTCATGCAAAAAAGGAATAAAATGGTCGCATCAACCACTAGGAAGAATCATTTATGAA